TGCTGTCATCACCATGTGCTAACATGTGGGAACACATGTGTCTGTGTGCACGACTCTCTGATGTTGGTCTCTTAGCCCCCAGAAGTAAATGACAACACACTGCTTTGTAAGGTACTTAATCATGGCACAGTTCACCCTTTGTATCCATGGTTTCATATTAATAGGTTTCTCCACTTATGGATCAGAAATATAGCTTGGCCTAAAATGGCAGATCATAGACAAGAATTTCTCTGTGAGCATTTCCCTGAACAGAGTAATAATATGCATGATATTTCTATCATATTATGTATTATAAATAATCTAGAGATAACTTAAAATATATGGGAAATTGTATGTATATTCAATTTTGAATTAGGGTTTCAATAATCATGAACTATGGTGCCCATATCAGGTCTCACACTGAGGAATAAATGCACAGAGCTATGAACTCCTTATGTAACTACTCACTAGGAACACACACACACACACACACACACACACACACACACACACACACACACACAAGCAAAATGTATCAACACAGTGTTAGCTCCAGCTTTAATAGAGTTCTACTTGTAGCCTGTCATTCTGATGCCTCTGATGTCCTTTTCCTGTCACTAAGGTGATTTCTACACAATATTGTGTTGAAACTCCTGTCACAAACCTTGTTCCTCTGTTTTATTGCCCCATGACTTGGTCACAAATATTATTTTGAAAATATAAAAGAAAACAAAGTTGGGTCCCTTCATCCCCCACTTGGCAGAGTCAATGTCATCCTCCCAATCTAAATCTTTTTATTTAAATCGAATTCATTTTATTTTAAGAGAGGAGTTTTTCCTTTTGGCATAAAAGAAAATTCCACCTCATGTTTCCTTCTAAGCACATCTCTAATGAAATTGATTATCAGTTCTCTCTGCTTATAAATTATGTCTGTTTGTCTACAATATAACAAATAATGTTTTAGTTATTCTATCAATGCATAAGACAAAATGCAATATTTACACTTCCCTTCATCACAGAACGCTTTTATTCTTAGTCATTCTTTAATATCTATAAATAGATAAGAGCTTGGACACACATGAACTATAACAAATAGACTCCAAACAATCAGAAATGGAAGGCAGTGATTCTGAATAAAAGAACCACACACAGTGAGTCCCATCCTTCTCTGGCTTTTCCCCTACAATCATTTGGGGTTACTCTTTGGTTTTAACTAAGGCATGAGTAGCGTTCCAAACAAAAAAAAATAGTATTTATGCTGTGTCAAGAAAAACTATTGTGGAATAGTTATAGAAAAAAATGTTATGAATAGTCAAAAGACAATGTGTATTAATTCACACTCTGATATGGATGAATCTCGAGTATAACCTTACATTTCCTTTAGTATGGGCATCAAAAACACTGGAGATCACTATGATGATGGAAGTCACGACCATGTTTCCAAAAAGTGTTGATATGTAAGTAATATAACCATGGCTTATTAAAAAAGCAAGCTATATTTATATCCATGCAATAATTATATAAGATTATGAAAATGGAAAACCATAATTGCACTTTTGCCCTAAGTCTTTATATTCTACTCTAAATACAACCAAGTCATACAAGAATGAATGAGCAAAAAGGTGATGCTAAGGCCTTGGTCTTCACTTTATATTTGTTGCAATCACGGTCAATGCTCATAAAGAACCACACTGTTACAAGTCAGTGCTGATTTCTCATAGAGTGCCCTAGTAGTAATATCTGCCCTTATGACTCATCTGCTCTTGCTGAGCTTACCTATTCATATCCTAATGTAAAAATTTGCTTTCCTGATCTCTTCTCAATGCTACTGATATCACTATGACTATTAAAACAGTTTCTTTACATTTTATAACTTTCTCCAGACTTTTTGGTGGTGGGAAAGGAGAGGATAACCTTTGCATCTTTTTTCCCTAAAGGTTCATTGTTCCCTCTTCAGCTTTTCCTCATCATTTAAGCCAAAGGTTCTCAACCATGGCTGCACATTGGAATCATGTGAAGGAAATTGACAACACCTAGGTCTGTCTCAGGTCAATGGAATAATAATTCATTGAAGTGGATTCCGGCCTTTTAAGTCCAAAGCCTTCTGGATATAACTCACAGAAACCTGTGAGTTATAGGTGATTATCTTAAACATGCATATCTCCCAAGACTCTGTCATCTGGAATCCTAGACTGTCTTCACACAAGTCCAGAGTTTTCAATTGTAAGAAGAAATAAAGGCTAAATTCCACTGTTTTATAAGGAAAGGATCATTTCTTCTGAGATGGCAAACAGCTTTACATTTCCCATAGGTTAATATATAGAATTGAGTTGCATTAATATAAAGTCTATGACTCACTCTCTTCTTTTTTTCTCTTTCTTCTTCCCTTTCTTCTCTCCCTTCTTCTTTCTTTCTTCTTCTTTTTTTTAGCTGTACTAAAGCGCTAATCTAGTTATTGCAAGTTGTCTTGGTCTTGTCAGCTGACACAGGACTGTTCTTCATCAATCAAAGACAGAGGAATTATTGCTGAAGGAGAAATGTATTAATGTGTTTTATTTTTCCATGTTGTTCTGTAAGCTAATGAAGTGACTGTTCTCACAGATCCAGACTGGGTTTGTATATGGCCTTGCATACTCAGCACCTCATCAGCTAGTCTCTCCATCATACTTGGTTGCAGCTGTGGGGAGTCAAGGCAGTATACCAACAACCTTCACTTGATCACTACAAGATCTTCCAACTCAGCATGTCCACCAAAGACCTTCTTAGCTTCTTGTGATCTCCCCATTAGAATCCTGTGAATAGGACAAATATGAACCCGTTTTCCCAGTCTTGGTTTTAATCCCTGTACCATTATTACATAGTAAACTTGTTCTGTTTCTGAAATCTTGCCCATATAAGTCAGGACCAGCAATGTACAGGAGCTCAAATAATCGGGATCTGATCACCTAGACCATTTCCATAGTTGATGTGTGGACTAGGATGCCAACAGAAACTAGAACCAGTGATGTATATGGCTGTGAATGCACAGTGCTTGAGCAACCAGACTATCTACATAGTTTATGCTATGGCCTGGGAGGCTGCTCTGCTGCCAAGCTTCTGCAGGGCACAACAGTTTGCAGTATCACTAGATCTGCCCCTTGCCTAGATAGCCACATCTGTGATGTACCCTTAAGGGATCAATTCCAAGTTTACCTCTCATATCAGTTCACAATAATTTAAAGTCTCTTAAAGGGCTCCAGAGTGGTTAACACTAGCTCACTGTATCATCAGCCATACATAATATACAAATATATTTATTGTGAATCAATATTTGATCAACCTTTCCTATTTTCTAGCCTATTCCATCACATCTTCACACAATTGAAGAACATCCACTTTTAATTAAGTATATTAGTCAACATTATCCTAACATGCTATGAGAAGCATGCTGTTTTCACCCATATTTATACAATAGGATTTGTAACGTCTTTGATTTTACTTATGCCAACTTGAGGTCTGGGGTAAGTTATACACTTACTATGTCCCTGCCTTAGTTGTAGTGATATCTACTTAGATTGCAAGGATCACAGCATGATTTTGTAATTTGACCTGGGCATATATAATTCTTTGGTTGTGTATCTATGGTGTGATAATCTCAACTCCTTTAAGGTGGGGTAACATAGGAAAAGTACAATCTGGGTTAGGCCAGGTAAATCTACTAGGTAACCTATTTAACTGGATGAGAAGAAGATGACATCCAAGCCATGGATCTAGAGCTAGGCCAGGCAAAGAAGAATCACAAATTAAGAAGAATAATGATCACAGGTCTGAAAATAAACTTGTGACTCTGCAGGTGATGGGATATTGGGGCCTTAAAAGTAAGATACACACCTTTAATCCCAGCATCCCTAAACTAGGATTAAGGGATAGATGGATCTTTCCGAGTTCAAGGCCACCCAAGGATATGAATTAGTCTAAAAGAGAATTATAGCTCATACCTTTAATCCCAGCACTAGAGGCACATAAAAGACAGAGATTCAGTAGAGGCATTAATTCTCCAGCCATGCTGAGGAGAGGTTACAGTCTAAGGCTTGGTGAGGCCCATGGAGACAGGAACAGCCCATTCAGCCCAAGGTAGAGGTAAGAAGCTAATGGTCACTGCTTTGCTTTTCTGATATTCAGCTTGAATCTTGAACCCCAATATCAGTCTCTGGGTCTTCTATCTATTCATATTACATGAGAGATTCAGGTCATTGTGCCAGACAGAAAGGACTAGGTCCTTCCACAGATAAGACTACAAATATATTAGAGTAAGTGGCAAATTGAATTCTAAATGTCAGGATTGCAGTAGACCACAAACTAACAAATTGTAAGAAAATGGTCAGTTTTTTTACTGCCATTTCCATGTTTTCTCCTGTAATGGAAGTCTCCAAATTCCTTGGTCTAATCAAGGACTACCCAATTTTTCATATTCAGGTAAATTTCTTCTTTGTGTAGTTTCTTCAGTTGCTGTACTGAAAATGCTGGCTCTATGTCAAAGCTTAAAACTTCAAGATACAATATTATATTTAGTTTATGCATGGTTCCATGAGTTTTAATTTAATAACCAAAAAGACTACAAAATTCAGATCACAAAACTCTTGAATTTCAGACATGTAAAAACATTCATATGGATTCTCAAAGTTTCCTTCAAAAGCTCTGGGAAATTCTGGAGTCTATTTAAAGGGTCCTTGAGGTGCTTGCTACATCCTAAAATGAGTGTGAATTTAAAATTTCTTCATGTATTTTAAGCAAATCTTTTTCTTGCCACCCACTTTTAATTAATCAAAATAATGAATGTTCTTGTTTAAATATAAACCAGTGTTTTTCACCTTATTGACTATTCTTGTTTTGAAATACATTAGGTAGGTGTCATAGATGTGTTATTATTCAAGGTGTATTAATAATTACATTATACAATTTTAGTCTTAATTTCCAGTATTTTAAATGATAGAATCCATATTCATGAAAGTTCTTTGCAGTTTATAGAGGTTTTTTTTTTTTGTAATATGGAACACTTCATGAGTTTGCATGTCATCCTTGCACAAAGGACCATCTTAATCTCTGTATTGTTTCAATTTTAGTATATGTGCTGCCAAAGTGAACACTTCAGTGGTACTTAAGAATCAAATGGAATATGTGGAATTTATACTGAGAAGTAGGGTTGAACAATATTTGTTCTAGATCATTGTAGCATTGCTCCCCACTTAGGTGACTTCGGAACCTTTCCACATAACCATGACACACTTCTGAGGGGCACATTTCTTGTGCCAAACTACTCAGTGGAAAAAGTGCATTGTTTTCTAGTTGTGTTGAGACTGACATGCATTGAAAGACATTAAAGGAAGGGAAGTTGTTACATAAGACAATCTCTATCCACCATGTGTCAAGGTGGGTATGGTGAAGTATGTTCCTACTCTCAGCTAGCATCTCCCTACCCATGGGCCCCAAGTCCCCTATAGCATGCCTGGGTCCACTGCTCTGGCAAGTGTGCAATGCATGAGGAGGGCTGGAAAACGGCTTTCCACTCCCTGGTTCTGGTCCCGCTGACACATTTTATTTACTAGTGGTTTATCAAAGGTTAAGAGTTGTGATCCCATTGGAGGGGTGTGGCTGTCTGAAAGAAGGAAATAGAAAAGAGGGTGGAAGAGAAAGTATCTAAAGAAATTGCTTTCTTCAGAAAGGAATATAGCTCTGCATGGAACCCAGAAAAGTTTCTGACCAAAAACATGTTGCTTCTGCATGGATGGTTTATTTTCAGTTGTCTCCCTGACTTATCAGAGAACAGTCATGATCCTTGTCACTAGCCACTTGTTCACAGACAGAGCCATATCTGGACTGCTTCCCCTAAGCCTACTTTTCTAATAGACACCTGAAACTCACTTATCTATTTCAACTAATTGGATTATCCTTTGTACCCCTTTCCCCCCCGACACACTTCACTTGACAGTAAAAGGCTGTCTCTCTCTAATTATGTTTATCATATCCTAAATATTATCTTCTAACACAGTCATCTCATTTTTTCATCATCACTTTCCCCAAATTCCAGTGTAATAATCTAGAGGGAAATGAATAGAGAACTAAATTTCAATCCTTCAGTTATTTGAACTTGAGCATTTTCTCAACACCTTTCTGGGCCTCAAGTATTTGATTTGCAAAATTATTTTAATAATACCTAATTTTTCATATCTCACAGAAAATCTCTTGGTACTAAAGATTAGAGATTATATAAACTATTGTAGATAAAAGCAATATACTGGTAAATAGGCCATGTGCATAATGTTATCATTATGCAGCACTGTTCAGGCATTTCATTTTGACCTCTATTCTGCCAGCTATGCTCTTCAAGTTGTATTTCTTTGTTCGCATAGGTAAAATCTTCATTCATTTATTCAATACACTTTCAGTTTATTGACAACAATGAGCCATAAATGCCCAGGGGATGGAGTAGGGAAGACTGTAGACATAAGGATATTGCAGCTTTCTTAACCACGGAGAATCTGTACAATCATTCCTTGGGACTGACAGGAACAGGGGTGCTATCAGGCTGGATAGGCTGTGTGGCTGCTGAACGACCAAAGCCCCAAGCTTCAATGGCATAATCCTATCTGGTATTTGCTAAAGATGGGCTAAAGATGGTCAATCCCCCCTAAAGTTCCCAATAAACTCACCAGGAGGGTGTGAGAACTTTTTAAAAAATATTTAAATAAACATTGTAAGTATCTCTAATTAATAATATGTGATGCCTTCAGAACCTAATTCTTATGTGAAAGAGCAATGTGTCTTTACTGAGCCATAGCTAACTACAATATTGCGTATATTCAAAGAGCTTTGACAGCCTCCTTTGTTACTTGAAAGGAGAGGGAAACCCATGGAAGATGAACAGTAAAATTAACTGACTTAGTACCCTAGAATAGAATTTGGACAGGGAGATGGGGGCTGGGGATGATGTATTTGCGTTGTGTTCAAGAGGCCATGGGACCAGTCCTTAGCAGCACAACGAGCTCTAACCTATTCTGGGTCAGCAAGAACTGCTTCTTAGATGAGATCACAATTGTACCTGAGTGGAGAAAAATAAAGAAAAGAGGAATAGGTAACGAAGAAGTGTGACAATTGACTCAAAGTGATAACGTATTTTTAACCACAGAGGGTCATGGTAAGAAAGGATATTTTATATTCATCAGCAAAAACCAGTGATACTCTCAATATTGAGACAGACTATGTCATGTTTTGAAGCCCTGCATATACAGCATGACTATATTTTATTCTGTAAACCATCTCAACTCCAATGGAAGATTGGAGGAACAAAGCAATCAGCAAACATTTTATTTTAAGGAAGAGACTGTTCCAAAGTAGAATGAGTTGGAAAGAAAAGAAGTAGATGACAGAGAATGAGAACGTATCACAAAAGATTCATGGAAGATAATAGAGAATGAATATGAGGTGCAGATTTAATGGGTGATTTTCAAGTAGAATTTATTTTTAAAATGTGACCATCTATAAAGCATTTATGGAAAGTAAATCAAAGAATTGTGTCAGGAATACTCTTTAGATGACTACTTAAAATTCACACTAAAGAACTAGAATGTAAATCAGATCTGTGACCAGGAAGGTTGGGGAAAAGGAATTGGGTTTCATTTAGGGCATTCAGGCTTGTGGTAAACAGACACCTCAACCTTGATGGTGCTATGGTGAGCAGCGGGCCTTGAAGTAAAGACATTGGAAATGAATTTCAGAGAGAATTATATCATGACCCTGTAGAATATCAGGTTTAAAATTAGATTGAAAAATGATTACCCTGTGGGATTTTCAAAGTTCAAAAACGGTGAGTTGGAATATTAATTAAAGTTATGATTCCAGGTGGGCAGGGTAGCATGGTCCTCAAACTTTAATCCACAGGAGGTGAACAAACAAGGATCCAGGGATCCCAAAGTAGCCTTAGCTACACAGTGAATCTCCAAAACCCAAGGGCTAGACATGAAGGTTAGTGAGGTGCTGGCTTTGCATGAGATTGGTCCTGGGTATTATGCTTGGCACCATGCCAACAGAGGAGGCATTATTCTGATGATTGATTCACTGTTTAGTTGCCTTCCTTCTCATTTGCTAAGTGTACTAGTTTGTGGTTTTATAACTTGTTTTGCATTTGTATGTGTGCAAATGTGTTTGTGTGGGGGTATCTGAGTCAGGGGTACATGCCTATAGATTCCCTCAGAATTCAGAGGCAATGTATCTACTAAGAGCTGGAGTTACCTGCAGTTCTGAATCTCTAGATAAGGGTGCCGGGAAATGAACTCCAGTCCTCTGCGAAAGCAGTGCATACCCTTAAGCACCAAGGCTCTACTCTAGCTCCTGCTCTAAGTTTAAAACCACTTAAGACATATATCCTGAAAAGTCATTCTCAGATGTATGATTCACTCACTTCTGAACAATTTATAATTGAGGATACATCCTTTTAGAAGAAAAAGTGCATCTCAAAGAACCTCCACACATTATTTCATCCTTGAATAATATACTAAAGCATCCCAAAGAGACATATACACCATATTTTTTAATTAAAAAAGAGCTATTTTATAAGAAAAAAGATGAAAAGACATTGGTGGCATCTGGTCTTCCTACAGCATCTGAGATAGATATCTCTCTGAATGAGGTTCCCCAGTTGATTGACTAAGTAATTCCATCTGAAAGAGAAGACAATGCCACCCTTTTGTGTTTCCATTGACATCAAGTTGAAGGTTCTGCTAGAGTGAGGCATGTGACTAGCTGACCAGGACACTTCCTTTCCTTTTATTCAGAGGGAAGTTTGGGTTTAACCATCTCTGCTTGAGACCTGTGGTTATTTTGATGTAGCCAGTTTGATACCTTTAGATAGGAAAGTATGCTCTAAAGCCAAATGACACAAATGTGTGTCCTGGCATTAACTTTAATGTGCACCTGGGTTTCAAAAAAGGATAAACAGAAACCCAAGTTCCTTTCTTTCCCTTTTGGGATTCAACCCTAACACCATTTTGTTTAAATTTCAGTTTCAGTTTCATCAAAGTCAAATGTGTTTATGTGAAATTGCACACCAGATGTTCGTGGCCATGGATGTTGTGGAGTATTTCATCGCCAATGTGACCCTGTGGATTTCAGAATTATGAACCAAAGCAGGATGTTTATATAAGGTTTCAACCATGCACTATATGGAAATTTGCTAATAAGGGTGTTATGGTCTCAAAGATAGACCTATTTTATATATTTTTAAATAACACATTTAGGCAATTAAGGCCTGTCTGTACAAACTGAAGTTAGAAGTGTAAATCCATGGAGAGTGGTTATATGATTTTGTTTCTGTAATTCTTATCATCACTCTGATGTGGCCTGTGAAATAAGATGAAGGAAAACAAGGTTTACTGAACATTAAGCATGATTCTTGTGTAGCTGTATTGTTGAATTCATTGCTTAACAACCACATTTGCACCCTCCCCTTAAAAACACACACACACACACACACACACACACACACACACACACACACACACACACACACACAAGAGAGAGAGAGAGAGAGAGAGAGAGAGAGAGAGAGAGAGAGAGAAAGAGAGAGAGAGACTGCTGAACCTTACCACTGAGTTTCTGAAGTCCTGGATGCAGCCTGCATGCTTAAAATGTTCTGGCAAGTTCTAAAATTGCTGTTCTTTATCCAAGGGCTTTACCTTTGTGTGGTTGAATGAATATGGGTCAAATCAAGCCTATTTAATGTATCAGTCAATTTATTGTTACTGTAACAAAATCATGGAAGTTGGATTCTTTGTTATGAAAAGAGGTTTACTTAGCTTACAGTTTTGAGGTTGATTTTACCAATAATATATTGCTGGCTCTGGAATGATCTCTTTGCTTGTCATCACATGACCAAAGTCATCATGGTAGAAACATGCACAAAAGGGAAAATAACTTGGCAAGCTAGAATATCCACAGACCATGGAGGGGGTATTTTATGTCTTTTTTAAATCTTTTTTCCCATTTTTTTTTGAATTAGAAACAAGATTGTTGTTTTACATGATAATCCCAGTTCCCTCTCCCTCCACTTCTCCTCTACCCCCCCCCAACTAAAACCCTAGCTATCATCTAT